TTAACTTTGTGAGAATGGGGAAGGTTAGGGCCAGCAACCCTTGGGGGTTAGGGTTAAGTTGCATGTTGTCTCCGTGGAATTCGACTGAAATGGGTGTTGTGGGGGTTTGAAAGTTTTATCTCTCGCCAGCAGTGTTTCAGCACTTCAACTAGATTTAAGACAAATGTACACAAAGCATATGGACAAATGGCCAGTGAGAATTTGCCGTAGCTTCGTGGTAACAGTTCACAGCTTGACCCTGTTGGGTTTTTTCCTGGCAAGGTTTGGGTGGTGGATTAATTGATGACAGTGATAAAAGATATCAAGGGAACCTATAGTTTTGTCACAGTTAAAGCCAAACAAGGGGAGGAAATGTTTGTTACTCCGTAGACGAGTTCATACTTAGTGTGAGAAATGCAAATTGTGAAAAGTTTCTGTAGAGTCCAATGGGATTGGCTTTGTCCTTTGTATATGATGGCATGGAAATACTACCGTTGTTAATTGAAGTGAAATTCACGTACGATTCTGAGAACTGAGATAGTCAACAACTTTTTGTCCTTCTTTCGATGATCAGATGGAGCAAGGCAGTCCTTCCAGCTGCACACTCACCACTCCCACATCCATCGCCGCCCACCAACCAGCGACGCTGCCCAGCAAAGCCCCACCCAGGCCCCACCCCAAGCCCCACCCCAAGTCCAGCCCCAGCCTCAGCCCTTGCGCTCTGTGCAGTACCAGCCCCCACGTCGTGTGCAGTGCCCGGAGCCCATTGCTGAGATCCGGCTGCCCCAGCAGGGGTCGTCAGTTCCCCTACGCCATCAGCGCCTGTTCCAGCAGCAGAACCGGATGAGGGAGATACAGAGACAGCACATGTCTAGGTACTGGGACCCCCAACCCCTTAAGCATCAATGTTGCTACCGCTTTGAACCTGCCTGGCTCTTCTGTACTTAAACATTCAAGGGCCAACATCGAAGGGCCCATTAAAGATTTCCCCCCCCCCTGTGATCTAGGATTTTTTACAATGTTTTGGTTGTATTTGATGTCTTCTTTTGTTTAGGATGAGAGATTCTCATTTTGACACTGTGGCACCATACTCTATGGTGGTGCTGCGTCAGTACCAGCAACATCAGCAGCAAGACAGCCGCCTGGAGCAGGTGGAGCACTTCCTCTCTTCTCAGCAGCATCACCACGGACAGCAGCAACAGCAACAGCAGCAGCAGCAGTCTCAGCAACAGCAACAGCAGCAGTCGCAGCAACAGCAGGTGGACAGCTGTCAGCGCCTGATGCACGGCGCCCAGCCGCAGGCTCCCCGGGCCTACCAGCTGGCCCACCCCATGCTGCACCACCCGGGCCCTTACGTCCAGCCCCACCACTCCCACCCCTTGGCCCATGCCTTGCCCCAGGCCCACCTGCACGCCCCACTGCAGGCGCCGGCCCCGCAGCCGGTGCCGCCCCAGCCACAGCAGATGGAAGTTGAGCACATGGAACCTGTGGTGGGCCCTGCGCCTAGCATGTAAGTGTGCACCTACAAACTCCAGGTGTCATCTTTTGTCTTGCTCAAACGAAAAGGTCAGTTGGAGCATTAGTTGGCTCCACTGTCTTCACAGCATTGAGACATAAATTGTGCTTAATTACACCTTGGTGCTCTGAGAATATTTATTTTGCTTTCAAACATGTGTTAGAACCATTTTGCAGTGAATGGCATTAGCATTGTTCAGGAGAACACAGCTGTTTTCAGGTTCATCTTACATCAAAGCTCCTCATGCGTCACAGTACGACAGACAAAATGCTGGTTTGTGCCTGACATCTAAGAAAATGTGGAGATGAGTTGGAATATGAATTGGATTGTCCTGTGTCATCAAAAGTTGCTGCAGTTGAAATAAATGAGTGCAGATTTTTGGCAAATTTTAGGCACAATTGTTTGCTGTGACATCACATCGCTTCTACGTAGGGTTTTTCTGCCTTAAGAAGAAGCGGT